CAGCTTAGACTATTTGATTCCAAGTTCCGATGTGGGGCTTGAACGCACAATCTTCTGACTCAGAGGCGAGACTACAATCAACTTAGCCAGGCTGACAGACTGCCTTTCACTACCTTCCACTGCCATCTACTCTCCTGCTCCTCAACTCCACACCCCTCGCTCCATTTTATCCTTCCCCCACTCTCTGATTCCATACAAATTGAGTGAAAATTTGAGGCCTTGGAACTGTGAGAGTAAGGGGTGGGGGCACTAGTCAGAGGGTGGAAACAACCTGCGAATGAGATTTTTAAAGCAGTAAATGGCTGATGTATTTCCTCCGCATATCCCTGTGGGTAATAATGACCAACTAGTTAATGTCCTCCAAGTGGGGGGGGGGTGGGGGGGATTGTCGGAATCGAGCCAGCCCTCTGTGACGGTCTCTAGTCCAGTTCCTGAGTCAGGTGAGTCTGCAATATTCCAGGGCACTGCTGATGACAGTACAGCCCAGCCCGGCTCATCAGCGGGACATGGAAGGGCAGACCAGTCACTGAGGGTAGGGAGTCATCCCACTCAGCTCCTGGTAACCCTGCAAACTAAAGCTCCAATGGATAGGGTGGTCCTAGCTGGACAAGCAGTGGGAAAGCTTGACATACAGTGTTCTCAGTGGACCCCAGAGTGTGCATTGGGGTGACAGCTGGAGTCTAACCAGTTAAAACAACAGTGCTGTGTGGTTTTAGCTGGTTAGACTCCAGCGGTTACCCCAATGTACACTCTGGGGTTCCCAAAGCTTTGGGTCTCACAAACCTGAGCCTAATACACTCCAAAAACTAGGGAAATTGAATGTGTAGCTCTGGGGAGAGAGTCCACATTCCATTCCAATACACAGGAATTTCCATGTGTAAAGAACATATGGCTTTGACTTGCAGGGTTAACAGGAGTTTAGTGGGAGGATTCTCTGCCCTTCCAGGTCCTGCCAATGAGCCAGGCTGGGCTGTGCTGTCATCAGCAGTGCCATGGAATACTACAGACCTGCCTGGCTCAGGAACTGGACTAAAGACTGTTACAGAGGGTGGGCTCAATTCGGATATTCCTTTACCAAAAATATCAACTTGGATTCAGTTCAGTTCCAAGGAGATCCCACTCACTTCCCCCTCCCACTCCCCCTCCAGCCAAGGAGGACAATTCACTGTCCAGACACCCCAGACACTCCACAAGTTAGAGTGTGGACGTCAATTGAGGAGTGTATCAGACTCGCTGTGTGTGCAAACCATCTACTGTTTAATTACCGAGAACCCAATAGATGTCTCTAAGTCTGGTTTCTATTGATGCGGATTGTGAGGTTTGTCCTGACCACTACAGAATGACTTAGCACAGGAATAACAGGACGAGATGTCAGACGGGTTTAGCAGGCTGATGTTAGAGTGGTGTGTTCAGTGGCAAATTGTCTCAGCCCGGCTGTCACTCACATTCTGGCTCTTGGGAGTCCCGAAGCACAATGATTTGCTCGCTTGTCGATTGCCGACCAGGGCGAAACCTTAGCCAAGTTTCCTTACTGCACATTCCTCTATTTACCTAGCAGTGAGTTGAGTCAGAACCCGGTTGTAATAATCCCTTCAAAGAATGATAATTTGGTCACTCAATCCACGACCGTTTGTGGGACCCTGCTGTGCGCAATTGGATGCCGCGTTTCGCCCACAAAATATACGGTCAATTCACTTTATAGTATATTCTGTGAAGTGTTTTGAGAAGTCTCAGAGATGTAATAAGGCTCTATGTCAATACAAAGATAATTATTAGTATTATAAGGTCAGAATGGATTTTGAGCTCACAGACCTGGCTGAGGCACCAGGATAATATTGGGGTTAGCCATGAAGGGAATGACTGATTTACGTAACCACTAAGCTTCATGACCCTATCAACCACATCCTTGCCCAGCTTGACTGACTCACATTCCTCAGAGGATCGAGTTTAAAATCCATGCTCTCACCTTTAAATATCTCCAGGACACCAGCGTGGCCTTGCTGTAAATTTGTAACCTCAGCAATCTCGCTTGTAACTTTGGCACCTCTCCCCACCCTCCACCCTCCCACTGCCCCTCCCGTCTTCACCCATAATACTCTCGTTCTCGCCTCCGAGACAGAAGGTGCTATCATCATGTCCAGGCTTGACTACACTAACTCCCTGCTCGCTGGACTTCCCAATTCATCCCTCCACAACTGCAGATTATCCAGAACTCTGCAGCTCATGTCCTCTCCCTCCCAAGCTCCGTGATGCCATCACCCCCATGCTTGGCCGGCTCCACTAGCTCCTCATCGCCCAGGGGATAGAGATCGTGATCCTTGTCCTCCCCTTTAAAGTCCTCCACGGTCTTGCTCCTCCCTTTCTCTGTGACCAATTAAAATATCACCAATCTGTCCGCTCCCCCTGGCCTGCTCCACCATTGGTGCCTTTGTTTCTTCTCTACCCTCTCTGCTTTATACCCTTTCTGATCCCAAACACCAGCTCGGGTGCAAACCCTCACTGTCCTTGGGAAGTCCTCCCGACATGAAAGCCGCTATACAAATGCAATTTGTTGTTATCTGAGGGGCGTATTGGCTAGGAAACTGGAAGAAACTTCTTGTTATAAATAGCCTTTGTTTGTGGGACACTGCTGTGTGTAATTGTCTGCTGCATTTTGTCCATAAAAAATAAAAATAAAATATTTTTTTATTTAAAGAAAAGAAAAACAAACAATAATAAATTGGTCACTTCAATCCATGACTGACTGTAGGACACTGATGTGCCCAATTTGGCTGCCGCATTTCACCCATAAATATCCAGTCAATTCACTTTATACAGTATATTTTGTGAAGCGCTTTGCGACATCTCAAAGATGGGATAAGGTGTTATTTCAAATGCAAGGATTATTATTAATAAAGAAGAAATTCTTCAGGTGTGATCTGAAGATGGGCAGAGGAATTCAGGCAGAGAGTTGGAGAGATTCGGACCACAGTAGCTCAAAGCACGGCTGCCGATGATGGAGTGGAGGGGATTGAGAGAGGTGCAGGTGGCCAGAGCCAGCTGGTTGATGGTAAGCAGTCTGTGAATATATGAGCAAGGAGAGGTAGGGAGGTGCCAGGGCTTAAAGTGATTTGTAGGTGAGCATGAGGATCTTGAAATCGATCCATTCAGTGACAGGGAGCCAGTGAAGCCTGGTAAGGAGTTGGGTGATGGGGTACAGGATTTGGTTTGGGTGAGGACAGGGGTAGCAGTTTTGAATTAGTTGGGACTTTGTGAATGGTGGAACTGGGGAGACCAGCAAGTAGGGCATTAGAACATCAGAGGAGAGTCCGTGGAGATTTTGAGAGGTCTGATACGTGCAGAAACCCATCACCGTCCTTAATTGTATCTAAACCAAGCTGAGATTTCCATGCATCCCATCTACACATAGAAATCCCAGAGAGAGATTGTTGGAATGGAATGCGCACTTTCTCTCTGGAGGGACACATCCTGTTTACCTAATTCCAGAGAGTATTAGGTGTAGGTTGGCAAGAGCCAATTTGGGGAGCCCAGAGTGTTCGTTGGGGTAACTGCTGGAGTCTAACCAGCTAAAACCACATAGCTTGCTATTGATAGCACCGTGGAACCTTTGAGAGCAGAGGAAAGAAAATTGGACCCGGGACACTAACAAGCTGATGTATGAAGAAACATTTCACGCCCCAGGGTCAAATTGACTAAATATATACTTTATTTTATATGTATCGTGTTCACTGCTATTTACACACATCATCTGAAATCTCAGATCCGGAATCGTCCATTCTCAGCCACCATCACAGTAAGAGAATAATCCACGAGAGAGAGAGAAAAAGAGAGAGAAAGAGAGAGGAGGCTTGAATCCCACCACCCACCTCAGCTTGTGTCACTGTTTTGTCTTAAACTTTAAGATGCTAGAAAATGCTTCTATTTCAGAGAAGTTGTTCTTTGATCTCCCGGACTTGGGCTTTTAAGAATTTGGCCCAATTCTGCCTGACAGAATTTTTAATCACCCGTTATTGTCCTCCCTCACCAGGGAATGCTGAGGGTTACCTGAATGGAATCGCTGTATCTCCACTCAATGATACCCAGGCAAAAAAAATTACAGTCATCTTCTCTCCCCCACCCAACCCCACCCCCAACAATCATACTCCCCAGCCCCCCAATATACTCCATAGTTCGGAGTGAGTGAGTGCAGGCAGCATTGTGACCTATAGGGTGCTGGGTGGGGGGGGGTTAGGATAAAAATTTGCTGACTCTTCCCACCCCTCCCATGACAATGTTCCCTCCCACCCATATGTACGACAATATTTACAATAAGTGCTTATAACACGAACAAACCCAGCGTGAGACACAATATCTATATGATATACAATAATATCTTGATAATATATATTATATGATACAGTCATATTATATAGATATTATTATATTTCATATGTTGCATTCCAGCCCAAAAACGGTTGGAAATCGAGCTTTGAAATTTAAGGTGGCCTTAATAATGATAATAATAATCCTTGCATTTGATATAGCGCCTTATCATGTCATCGAGACGCCTCAAAAGCCCTTCATGGAATATACCGTAAAGTGAATTGGTTGACTGTGTGTTTGGTGGGCAAAATCCTGCAGCCAATTGCGCACTGCAGTGTCCCGCAAACAGTCATGGATTCTTCCTCTTTTTTTTTTGAAGGGATTATTACCCCCGGAAAAGTGATCCGCCAATCGACTAACAACTGGGTTCCTATTTACTGCTGGGTAAACAAAGGCATGTGGAGTAAAGAAACTTGCCTAAGGTTTCGTCCCACCAGGGAATCGAACCCGGGTCCTCTCACTTGTGAGGCGAGTGCTCTAACTACTATACTACGGGACTGAATACAATTCTGGGTTTGGTGAGTTCGGTGGTGGGGAGGGGGCCAAAGGTAGCGATGGAACTCAGCTAGTAATGACTGGAGGTGGGGGGAAGAGAGAAAGAGAGAGATAGAAACACAGAGACATCAGGTCACATCACGTCACATGACCGCACCATTATCTGCGACGCACCCACATTTCTCGACGATCATGTTGGGAAACTCAGCCACCTCGACCTCAGTGTAGTCTCCCTTCTTGACCAGGTACATGATGGGGAGAGAGGCGCTCTCGAGCACAGCACAACTCCTCTCCCCGGAGCGGAAAGGCCAGGCCGGTTGCTTGCAGCCCCCCACGCAGTGGAAGGCTTGGTATCCGGGAGGCTCGATGATCCAGTACTGAGTCCACGTCAGCTCCCGGAAGCTAATGAAGTGCTCTTGCCGGCAGCAGGACCCCTGTTTCTTCATTCGGTGTCCAACGCAATCACCCGAACCCCTGCCCGTTCGGAAAGGAAGAAAAAAATTATCTGTTAATTATTTGCAGAACAATGTTTGTTTTTTTACAGTATCTTTCTTTGACCTTATAATAATAATCCTTGCACTCAATATAGTGCCTTATCACGTCATTGTCACATCTCGAAGCGCTTCGCACGATACACCGTAAAGTGAAGTGGCTTTTATGGGCTAAATGTAGCAGAGAGTTAGTTGCACACAGTAACGTCCCACAAATAGTCATATTGTGAGGGACCGATTGTATCTGGGGGATTGTTGGCCAGGACACCGGGGAAGAAAAACTCCAATCGCTTTTTCAACAGTGCCACGGGATCTTTAACTCCACCTGAACAGGCACAGACGGGACCTCGGTTTAATGTCTCATCCAAAGGACAGCACCTCTGACAATGCAGCGCTCACCCCCCAGCCCTGCGCTGGAGCCTCTGCCTGGACTGTGAGCTCAAAATCCTGATGTGAATCTTGAACCCACAATCACAACATCAGTCAGGATATGAGCACATTGGCAGTACCCAACCCAACACTGAGTTGTCCAAGGGGAAAGAGAGGGCAAATGGGTTATAACCAGAGATCTGTGATATCCCCAACATCTGTGCGGGAGCTCTCTACCCTTAAATCCCATCCCCTGCTTTCTCCCCATCGTGTCTGTGCTCGTGCTCACTCCCCCACTGAAGCTCTCTAATCTAACCCTATACCCTGCTCTCTCCCCATCGTGTCTGTGCTGGTGCTCGCTCCCCCACTAGAGCTCTCTACTCTAACCCTATACCCTGCTCTCTCCCCATCGTGTCTGTGCTGGTGCTCGCTCCCCCACTAGAGCTCTCTACTCTAACCCTATACCCTGCTCTCTCCCCATCGTGTCTGTGCTGGTGCTCGCTCCCCCACTAGAGCTCCCTCCCACAGAGAGTGCAGGAAACAATTTGAAGGAAGATTCCAAACAAATAGTAACTTCTCGCCTGACATGTCTGTGACAATCCTCTCAGAAACCCAAGACTTGACAGTGAGCCAGAATGAATTTATAGTTATATAATAATAATCCTTGTCTTCAATATAATAATGATGATGCTTGCATTTGATATAGCACCTTATCACATCTTCTAGACGTCTCAAAGTGCTTCACAGAATATATTGTAAAGTGAAACAAAAACAGAAGTTCTGACGAAGGGTCGTGGACCCGAAACATTGACTCACTTTCCTTTCTCCATAGATGCTGCCTGACCTGCTGAGTGTTCCCAGACACTTCTGCTTTTTGTTTCAGATTTTAAGCATCTGCAGTATTTTGCTTTATACTGTGAATTATTTTATAAAGTGAATTGACTGTATATATTGTGGGCAAAATATATTTGTTATGTCAAAATATGTCAAAATATCACAAAGTGCTTCACAGTAACTGCTGTAAAGTGTAGTAACTGTATTTTGTAGGCAAATGGTTAGCCAGTTTACACACAGCAACAGCAATGTGAAGGGAGTGAGTGACCCAGTTATCGGGGGGATTGTCGGCCAGGACACTGGGAGAGAGCAATAACCTTCACCTTTCGAATAGCGCTGTGGGATCTTTAACGTCCACCTGAACAGGCACAGACTTTATTTTAATGCCACCAATGATGTTGACTGACGTGTGGGTCTAGACCTTGCCAGATTTGTGCCAGGGCAGAGGAACAAGAGGGCATAGGTTCAGGACCACCGTAAGATGAGACACCAGGAAGTGTTTCTTTACCCAGAGGATAATTAATGACTGGAACAGGTTACCAGGAAGGGGGGTTGAGGCCAGAAAGGGGGGGTTGAGACTCATTTAAAAAACAGCTGGATGCTGTGATGGGGTGAACGGTAGGGTGGGGGGTTCTGGAGAGAGGAGATCGGATGAGCCGAAAGGTCTTCTTCATCCGACATAATGGTGTGAGGTCTACAATGGAACATTAACCCTGCAGGTTCTGGGGTGGGGGATGGGGCCATGAGAACAAACCAGACGACAGCATGACTGGAGTTCAGTGATTTATTTACTGGCAACTAAGGGAATTAACACAGTACAAAGTCACCCATTTCCACGCATAACAGAGATTTACCTAAACTAAGGAGCTGTCATTGCTGACTCTGGTCAGTCCATGGGGTGAGAGAGCGAAGAAGGGTCACATCTCAACAGCGAAGGGTAAGGGGTCAGTTAGCCAACGAATACACAACAGGCAAATGTCTACTGTGGGGACTGCACACTGCTCAACACTGCTCATGGGAATGTGTTTCAGGCACAGAGAGAGATACAGGAACACACACACAGACTTACAGACACACACACACACAGACAGAAAGAAACTTACACATACACACACACACACAGTGCAGATTGGCCCCATAATCGCCTACAAAAAACAGTCACTAGACTTTACAGTAAATTGTGTGAAGATGCTTTGAGACATCCAACTGACATGAAAGGCGTTTTACCAAATACAAGGTTAGTGACACATGCAGAGAGATAGAGAGAGAGAAAGAGGGAGATAGAGAAGAGAAGGCAAGCGAGTGGGGTGGAAGGGGTTGAGAGAGGGGATATTAGCAGAAAACGAACAAGAATCACAAACGGCATAATCACTTCATCCCCACAATATTACTTTGACGCATAGTGCGAGAGTAGGTGGTGGAGAATCACGTGAGCACAATACAATAATACCCCTCCTCCCCTGCATTGGCCTGCTGTGTGTGACCCCATCACTCTACGGACACTATGCCTATGGAGACATACCCATAGTCGCCGAAGTTAAGGGAGTAGATCACCAGTTCTGGTTTGCGGGGGGTCTCGCCTCGGGGGGTCTGGGGGGTGAAGCGGACCAGCTTAGCCAGGTCGGCAGCATAACGGCCCAGCCTCTCGGCCTCGATCCACACCTCCAGGTCCAGCCGCGAGTCCCCGGTAGCCTGCCAATAGTGCACGGCCTGAGTCACGTCAAAGGCTTTCCATCCTGAGCCCAGGATCGGCACCAACCTGTACAACATACAGCGTGGTTAGCATAATAATAATAATATATAATAATAATCATACAATAATATATTATAATAATAATCCTTGCATTTGATACAGCGCCTTATCATGTCTTAAAGCGCTTCAAAGCATAATACTGTAAAGTGTAGTGACTGTATTTTTTGGGTGAAACACTGCAGCCAATTGTGCACAGCAGTGTCCCACAAACAGTTGTGGATTGAAGTGACCAACTTATTACTATTATTTTTTTTGAAGGATTATTACCCCCGGAAAACCGATCTGCCAATTGATTAACACCTGGGTTCCTACTTACTGCAAGCTAAACAGAGGCGTGTGGATTAAGCTGCCCAATGTTTTGCCCTGCTTGCGAGGCGAGTGGTCTAAACTCTGAGCTACATGTTGTTGCTGTGCCCTGGAAAACTGCGGACCCGGCTGGCTCAGGAACCGGACTAGAGACAGTCACAGAGGGCTGCTCGATCCTGACATCCCGTAGCCAGGCGCATCATCTTGGGGCCAGTTTAGTTCCAAGGAGACTCGGCTTACCTCCCCCTCAAGGAGGATAGACTTGCTGTTACCTGGAGTCGATGAGCGAGGTCCTGTTGGTGCCATCGGCAAGGATCTTGACCCAGTACACACTGATCCTGGCGTTGTGGACGGCCCGGTGGTGTCTCCTTGGGGGTAGGTCTGCCTTGTGGATGCCTTTCTGGAAGATCTTGAGTTCGGCCATGGTCACCTCGCTGTTCTCAGGGATTAGTCCCTTCATCTCGAAAACTAGCCTCTGCCTGGTGGGGTCAGAGTAGAGTACCTCTCCAGTCGTGTCTGTGAAACAGAACCCAACCAGTTAGTGAATAATAATAATACAATAATAATAATATTCATCCTTATATTTGATATAGCGCTTTATCAGGTCTTCGAGACATCTCAAAGCGCTTCATGGAATATACTGTAAAGTAAATTGACTGTATATTATGTGGGTGAAAAGCACGGAAGAAACATGCTTTAAAACGTCATTTTTCTACCAAGTGTAGGTAAGACAAGGTTAGTAACACATGCAGAGAGATAGAGAGAGAGAGATAGAAGGAGAGAGAGAGAGAGAGAGAGAAGAGGGGTCAAGCAGGTGGGGTGGAAGGGGTTGAGAGGGGGGATGTTAACAAAAAACTGTATGTTTTGTGGGCAAAACGCGACAGCCAATTATGCACAGCAGTGTCCCACAAACAGTCGTGGATTGAAATGACTAATTTATTGTTTGTTTTTTTGCAGGGATTATTACCCCCGGAAAAGCGATCCACCAATTGACTAACAACTGGGTTCCTACTTACTTGTGGGTAAACAGAGACGTGTGGATTAAGGAAACTTGCCTGAGGTTTCGCCCTGCCTGGAAATGGAAACCCGGGTCCTCTCGCTTGCAAGGCGAGTGCTCTAACCCTTAAACTACAGGACTCCGCACGCCTTGGTTTAATCTCGTTTGCTCTGTAATCACAGCGACCAGCAACCAGCATATTAAACTCTCGTCCTCAAAAGGGCATCACGTTAAAGACTGTGTATTGTAGACATTGTAGATGCCAGATGCAAAGTTGTTATTCATGAGACCGTGAATGACACAAATTCACAGCTTTTAATCTCAAAGCATTTAGAGAGCTTGGATTGAATAGCAATACTTGTGACTTGTTGATTGGCTGATGATCAGATCGGCAGAATGCCAAAGAAAGGAAAAAGTCACATGAGACGGGAGACATAGGAGAGGGGGGTGTTGGGGAGCGACTGGCGGATCAGAGATAGGGATGTGGGGTGGGGGTGAGAGGAGTGGGGGTGGGGGGCAGATGGGTGAAGCGTCTCAGCTATTTAGCACTGCTCAAAAAATAATAATAATAATTTGGTCACTCAATCCACCACTATTTGTGGGATACTGCAATTGGCTGCCACGTTTCGCCCACAAAATAGTGTCAATTCACTTTACGGTATATTGTGTGAAGCGATTTAAGAGGTTTCGAAGACCTGATGAGGTGTTATATCAAATGCAAGGATTATTGTTAATAATAATAATGATAATCCTTGCATTTGATATAGCGCCTTTCACGCCGTCGAGACATTTCAAAGTGTTTCATAGGATATATTGTGGAGTGGATTGACTGTATTTTGTGGGCGAAACGTGGCAGTCGATTTGCACACAGCAGTGTCCCACAAAAAGTCAGTGACCAATTTTATTTGGAAGCTTGTTGGTCAGGGCACCAGGAAAGAGAAACTCCCTTCTCTTTTCGAATAGCACAATGGAATCTTTAGCGTCCACCCGAAAGGCACAGACGGGACTGATTGAGACAGGCTGACACTTCATAGCAATTTCCTACAAAGCATTTGAGACATTTGATGATAAGGCACAGTATGAAAGTACAACCTGGAAAGGAATTATTTACAACCATGGAACAACTTGAACTTTTACAGAACCTTTCGTATTGAAAACCTCAATAAGGTCGGAAGTGGTGGGAGGATTGGATTTTTAAAATAAGGTCGGAAGTGGTGGGAGGATTGGATTTTTAAAATAAGGTCGGAAGTGGTGGGAGGATTGGATTTTTTAAAAATCCAATCTAGACTCAGTCCAGGGGTGAGAACAGTATCTGTCAGTAGCGGCACTCGCCTCGCAAGAGAGAGGATCTGGGTTCGGGGCAAAACCTTGGGCAAGTTTCCTTACTCCACTTACGGTTACCTAGCAGTAAGTAGGTTGTTAGTCGATTGGCGGATCGCTTTCCGGATCGCTAATAATCTCTCCAAAAAATATATAAATAAAATGTGGTCACTCAATCCACGATTGTTTGTGGGACACTACTTTGTGCAATTGGCTGCCGCGTTTCGCCCACAAAATACAGTCAATCCACTTTACAGTACACTCTGTGAAACACTTTGACACATTTCGAAAACGTGATAAGGCGCTATAACAAATGCAAGGATGATTATTATTATTACTATTATTTTAACAAAGCAAAGGGATCTATTGATTTACCTGTGTTACCGGGGATGCCACGTAAGATGCCGGCCAGGCTGGGCAGCGCTCTGCGTTTCCTCTCCTTGTCCTTGTGCTGGTGTAGGAGCGAGATGTACCTGTTCCTGACCCGTGCTGGCACCACCACATTCTCCAGGTCTCGCTTGCCGAGCCTCGGCACCTCCGCCAACCCTAGCCTCTCCAGGAGCGCTCCCTCCACCTCGCCGGGCAGCAAGCCTTGTGCACTGACCACTGCCCAGAGGGCACAAGCCATCATCCCGAGGAGCACCATATTCCTGACGTTGGTCATCTTTTCCCAGCAAAATCCTTATCCTCTCTTTAGTATAGATCTTTTTAATTGGGTGAGTGGGTGAGTGAGTGATTGCAGCTCTTGCCTTCCTCTGCCTTGCCCAGGTCAGATTGACTGTCTGTCTCAGCTCTTAGCCTTGAGCTTTATAAGGCAGAACCAATGCATTGATCTCTACTCCAGACAAAGGTAGATTAAAAAAAGGGGAGTGAGCACAGCCTCATCAAAGAGCCAAGGAGACTTAACATTGTCACACCCAGGAATACTTAAACACAGTGATTGACACTTCACACCTCTTACACTCCATGGATGAGCCTCAGCACACCAACCTTTGATGAGTTTGCTTGCTTAGTGGGAAGGGGTGAAGGGGGAGGAGAGGGAGAGATTGATACACACACAAACCAATTTGCGGTATTTTCTGAAAGGGTTTCTTTCCTCAGTTAATAAGGAAACCGATGAAAGAGGCAGTGCTCCTTCTAATTCAAAGGAATTCTGTTCTGAAGCCATCTATGTACAGAACAGGGAATTCTACCAGGATTCCTAATTAAAGCTCCGCATCAGGGACTGTGAGCTCGCAGACTAAGCTGATGCTCCAATGGAGCGCTGGGGGTAAGGGGGGGGGGTTGTTACATTTTCAAAGGTGCCGTCTTTTCGGGTGAGACGTTAAATCGAGGTCCCGTTTGTCTGTGCCTGTTTAGGTGGACGTTAAAGATCCCGCGGCGCTATAGGAAAAGAGAAGGGAGTTTCTCTCTCTTTCCTGGTGTCCTGGCCAACAATTCCCAAACAAAATTGGTCACTCACTTCTTAGCTGTGGGACACTGCTGTATGCAAACTGGCTGCTGCATTTCACCCAATAAATAATAATAATATAATAATAATCCTTGCATTTGATATAGCGCCTTATCATGTTTTCGAGTCGTCTCAAAGCGCTTCACAGAATTGACTATGAATTGACTGTATATTTTGTGGGCAAAAATGGCAGCCAATTGCGCACAGCAGCGTCCCACAAACAGTTGTTGATTGAAGTGACCAATTTATAATTATTGTCAATAATTTTTTGAAGGAATTATTGCCCCCGGAAAAGCGATCCGCCAATCGACTAACAACCAGGTTCCTACTCACTGCTACTTATACAGTCACTACACGTTAGAGTATATCCTGTGAACACTTTGAGACATCTCAATGACACAATAAGGTGCTATTGTGGAGTCCTGTAGCTCAGAAGTCAGAGCACTCGCTTCGCAAGCGAGAGATCTGGTTTCGATTCCCAGCAGGGTGAAATGTTGGGCAAGCTTTCTTACTCCACACGCCTCTGTTTGCCAGCAGTAAGTAGAAACTCGGTTGTTAGTTGATTGGCAATCGCTTTTCAGGGGGGTAATAATTCCTTCAAGAGAAAATAATAATAATAAATTGGTCACTTCAATCCGCAACTGTTTGTGGGACGCTGTTGTGCGCAATTGGCTGCCGTGTTTCTCCCACAAAATATACAGTCAATTCACTTTACAGTATATTCTGTGAAGCGCTTTGAGACGTTTGGAAGCGTTGATAAGACTATATCAAATGCAAGGATTTTTATTATATCAAATGCAAGGATTATTTTTTTTATTGCCTACCATATACCCACCCCACCACCCACCACACTTGGAGACATTCACTGATGTGAAAGGCAATGTATAATTTGCAAGTTGTGAATCATTTTGTGTAAAAACACAGGTGAGCATAGGTGGGGGAGAGAAAGCACAATGAATGAATGAATGAATGAAACTAAATAAATAAATAAATAGAGAGCGAGAGCAAGGTAGATAGATAGATTGAATAATTAACAAATAAATAAAAATAATTAAAAAATGAATAAATAAGCAAAATAATATTAGAAATAAATAAATACTGCCTTTACTTCCTTTTACAAGTAACCATGGGCTCTAATGAGAAGGGCTGCAATCCTCGCACGCTCCCTATTTAATTTGCATATCAAACAAGAAGGGAATTTGAACTTCTGAGGCCCCCTCCCACGTAGCAATCTCCGGGTGAGAGCAGCAGATGTGAACTCACTGCAATGAGGAGAGAGATTTCTCACCTGCATTCACACACCTGCCCATGGTGTGGTCCAGCCCTCCTCAACCCCCTCCCTCTCTCTAACACAAGAAATGGCTTTCCTCAGTCAAATGATAATATAATAAAAAGTGAAGGGAGTTTCTCTATTCTGATGTCAAGGCCAACAATCCCCCAAATAAAATAGGTGAATTACTCCCTCCACGACTGTTTGTGGGACACTGCCGTGTGCAATTGGCTTCCGTATGTGTCAGACATCTGACTGACGCCAAAAAACTTACTGCTAGGTAAACAGAGGCGTGTGGAGTAAGGAAACTGCTTAAGGTTTCTCCCTGCCCGGGAATCAAATCCGGGTCCTCTCGCTTGCGAGGCGAGTTCTCTAACCACTGAGCTACAGGACTCCATGGGTATTGATAAAAGCTATTGATCTTAAACGCAGATTTCCTCCTAGGGGATGGGGGTGCTCCTACCGGCAATGTAATTGTCAGCATAAGCGTTTCTTCAGTCAACGTTTTGTGTTTGGTCTTGGCGTCTGAGCGTCGTGTCTGAGTCCTACTCCCAGATACAAGTGTGTCCTCCATGTCATGTGTATTCCTGACCCCCCCCCCCCCCCACCCACCACACAACCACCACACGGAACAGATGTGCACAATTCCCAAGAGCTAAGGTTGTGGATTGGAGAATTCACAGGCCGGTCATTATGCCTTTTGACTGCAAGATTTTGTCTGCAGCTCTTTGCCATGCAAATAGTTAGAAAAGAAATCAAGGATTAAGGCAGCCTCTTTAGTGTATGTGTATTGACACTACTTTAGGCATTGAGGTGCCAGACAGATTAAGGTACTGGGAGAGAGGGAGGGAACAGGAAAGCCAGGCTCACACCAGCTTGGCTTTCTTTTCCATATCGCTCACATCTGGTTGAATTGCAGAGTCCCATAGCATAGTGGTTAGAGCGCACGCCTCGCAAGCCAGAGGACCTGGATTTGATTCCTGGGCAGGGCGAACTCTTAGGCAAATTTCCTTATTCTACGCACTTCTGTTTACCTAGCAGTAAATAGAAACCTGGTCGTTAGTCAATTGGCAGATCGCTTTCTGGGTTAATAATCCTTTGAAAGAAAATGTGGCCACTCAATCCGCGACTGTTTGTGGGACTTTGCCATGTACAATTGGCTGCCACGTTTCACCCACAAAATATATATCCTGTGAAACTCTTTGAGATGTCCCAAAGTTGTGAAAAGGCGCTATGTCAAATGCAATGATGTGAATATTATGTGAAGATTGGTCATTTATAAGAGGGCTTCTTGGAACTGGAGCTCAAGATCACGTCAGGAGAGGAGGGAAGGAAACTGACCGAAAACACAAACAGATCAACTAATATTAATAATAATAATAAAGACAAGAAATTATATTTGTATACACTCTTTTTCGTTGGGAGGAGGTCCCAAGACGTTAAAAATAATAACAACAACATCAATACCTTGCACTTTATACTGACCTTCAGGCCGGATGGCATCTCGGAGGGCTTAATCTTTGCATTTAATATAGTGCTTTATCATATCGTTGATACATCTCAAAGCACTTCACAGAATATACTGTGAAGTGCAGTGACTGTGTATTTTGTGGGCGAAACGCGGCACCCAGTTTGTGCACAGCAGTGTCCCACAGACAGTCAACAACAACAACAACTTGGATTTATTTATATCGCGCCCTCCACGCCGGACGGCGTCTCAGAGCGCTTTACAGTAACGGATCCCGTGGATTTCCTCCATCCTCACAACAAACTGCAAGTGCGAAGAAGCGGGGTCCTAAACTTTTTTGTGTCAAATTTTGAAAACATCTGAAAAAAAAACACAAAATATTGCAGATGCTGGAAATCTGAAACAAAAACAGAGAGAGCTGGAAAAACTCAACAGGTTAGGCAGCATCTATGGAGAAAGGAAAGTGAGTAATAATAATAATAATCCTTGCATTTGATATAGTGCTTTTTCATGTCTTCGAGGTGTCTCAAAGCGCTTCACAGAATAGACTGTAAAATGAATTGACTGTATATTTTGTGGGTGAAACATGGCAGCCAGCAATGTCCCACAAACAGTTATGGATTGAAGTGACCAATTTTTTTATTATTTTTTTTGAAGGATTATTATTAGGCGTGTGAAGGAAGGAAACTAGCTCAACATTTTGCCCTACTGGGAATCCAACCCAGGTCTCTCACTTGTGAGGCGAGTGCTCTAACCACTGAGTATATGGAGCAAAGGCGTGTAAATGGAGTTGAGGTACAGATCAGCCATGATTTAATAGAATGACGGAACAGGCTCAAGGGACTGAATGACCTCCTCCTGTTCCTACATTTACCCCCCACCCCCGTTCAGAGGGTGAGCTTTTAATCACTTTGCCCCATTTTTCCTAGATATCTCTGCTTCACTCCCTTGACCCTTGAGTCTATCAACCCCTTCCTCGCCCGGCTCCACTGGATCACTGAAGGCATAGTCGAAGAGGAAGCACTTGAGTGGGAAGTGACTGTTTATGGGACATTACTGGGTACAAACTGGCTATAATAATAATCCTTGTATTTGACATAGTGCCTTATCACATCTTCAAGATATCTCTAAGCGCTTCACAGGATATACTGTAAAGTGTTGTGACTATGTATTTTGTGGGCGAAACGCGGCAGACAATTGGCTGCCATGTTTCGTCTCCAGAAATGCATGGTAAATCCTGTGAAGCCCTTTGAGACATTGCAACGACTTGATAAGGTGCTGTATCAAATGCAAGGATTATTATCATTATTATTATAATCAATGTGGCCATATCTGAGAAGCAAAACAGGCCACATTGTGACCATTATGAAGGTCAGTGTTGGTACAAGTGCAAGTGTTGCTGAGTATCAATGAATCACCTTATTTAAATATGGGAAAGTGGGTGACAAAGTGGGACAGGATAACACAGCCCAACTGTCCTTTCTCCTCCGGGAGCGAGCTTGGGCTTTTGAAGTGCAGGGCTTGAGGTGAGGTGCAGAATCAGGAGCAAATAAGAAGAGGAAGGAAAAGTGTGAATGTGTGGCTTTAATCTTTACCTAAAAAATGGCAAAGGGATAGAATGGTGTGCAAAGGCTTCAAAGCTGGTGAGAGCTTGTCCCTCTGGCAAGCGTATACTGTACTTCACACCAGTCTCCCTCATGCTGTGTGCTTGCAACTTCAGTTTTTACCAGCACAGGAAGAGGCGAGGAATATTCGAAAGGGAGAGTGAATTTATTCACTGGCCCAAAGACCACAAATCCCACGACCCCAAACCTGCTGATCCTCCTGTCTTTGAGTCCTGTAGCATAGTGGTTAGTGGCTCGCCTTGCTAGCAAGAGGACCTGGGTTCGATTCTCAGGCAGGTCGAAACCTTGGGCAAGTTTCCTTACTCCACACTCATGCCTCTGTTTACCGAGCAGTAAGTAGGAACCCAGTTGTTAGTCGATTGGCGGATCACTTTTCGGGGGTAATAATCCTTCCCCCACCCACCCAAAAACAACAATTTGCTCACTCAACCCATGACTGTTTGTGGGACACTGCGGTGTGCAATTGGCTGCTGGTTTCGGCCACAATATACACAGTCAATTCAATTTACAGCATATTCTGTGAAGCGCTTTAAGGCATCTCATTGACGTGATCAGGTGCTGTAATAATAATAATAATAATAATAATAATAATCCTTGCATTTGATATAGCGCTTTTCACGTCAGGAGGACGTCCCAAAGCGCTTCACAGAACACACTGTAAAGTGAATTGACTGTATATTTGTGGGCGAACGCGGCAGCCAATTGCGCACAGCAATGTCCCACAAACAGTCGTAGATTGAAAATGACCAATTTAATTATTGTTTTGGTTTTGTTTTGGAGGGATTATTATTAGGCTCTGTGTGGAGTAAGGAAACTTGCCCAAGGTTTCGCCCTCTGCCTGGAATTGAACTCAGATCTCTCACTTGCAAAGCGAGTGCTCTAACCACTGAGCTACAGGACAGTAGTGAGTGCAAGGTTTATTGTTATTATTTTCCAACTCTTGAATTTAAGTTTAGCCCCCAAGAAGTATGAAGGCAGTCAGTTTAACCTGATTTCTGTACCCCTAAACCCCGACCACACAGATTACAGCTACATCTCTCCACACCCCACCCCCCATCATCTCCATGAAAAGTAAGTACTCGAAAGTAAGTAAACCACAGCATCTAATCCCAACACAACCCCCCCTCCCCACCCCACCACCACCACCCCACACACCTCCACAATTAGATTAGGACACCCCGGGCTTCATATTCATTGTAAAGTTTGCTGTGTTAGTGCCAGGCCAATGCTCACTTAACCTAGTAGTGAGGAGATGCTGTCTAGCTTCCTCCCCACATGTCTATTCTACTCTCACATACACACGTCAGTCAGGCTGAGCTGCTGGGATCAAGTCTGACACTAATCTGTCTGGTGTATCACAGACACCTAAATCCGAGCGGATATACTATCATTTGTCCTTTCGTTTTCCCCCCACTGTTTGGAGGCAATTTGTGTGTGACACCATTTGTCTGTGATGGGTGTGCGGCAGACAACAACAACAATAACTCGCATTTACATAGCACCCTCCATGCAGGGTAGCGTCTCAGAGCGCTTAAACCATGACTAACCGAGCGGGTGGCTGAAATTCAAACGGTAACAGAACTGAGCCATTGCTCAGCAGTAAGGGTCTCCGAGTTTAATTATGCAATGATCGTGTCATCCTGGCTCAGTGATAGCGCTCTCGCCTCCGAGTCAGAAGGTTGTGGGTTCAAGCCCCGACGTTGGGACTTGGAATCAAGTGTAAACTGACCCTGCAGTGCAGTGCTGGGGGGAGCGTTGCATTGTTGGAAGTAACATCCTTTGGATTAGATGTTAAACCGAGGTACTGTCTGTGCCCGTTCAGGTGGATATTAAAGATCACTTGGCGCTATTTGAAAAAGAAGACCACTATCTCTTTCCCGGTGTCCTGGCCAACAATTCCCTGAATAAATTTGGTCACTCACTTCATGACTGTTTGTGGGACATTGCGGTGTGCAATTGGCTGCTGCGTTTCACCCACAAAATATACAGTCTTTACAGTATATTTTGTGATTCTCACTGCTTTCCTTCAGTCGCACCTTGTCTTCATTTCAGCGGCTGCCAGGAATAAGGAGAGCGTCACTGCCAAACAGTGAGGAAGGGCAACAGTGATATATTCATCATCCTTGCATTTGATACAACACCTTATTATGTTATTGAAATGTCTCGAAGTGCTTCACAGAATATACTGTAAAGTGGGGTGACTGTGTATTTTGTGGTGGGTGAAACGTGGCAGCCAGTTGCGTGCAGCAATGTCCCACAGTGAGCCATGGAGTGAGTGACCCAATTTTATTTGGGAGATTGTTGGTCAGGAAGAGAGAATCTCCCATCTCAAGTAGTATTGCGGGATTTACCATTAACATCCACCTGAACAGGCACAGACGGGTTTTAACGTCTCATCCGAAGGACAGCATCTGACGAGGGAGTGCTCCCCACAGCACTATATTTGAGCGTCAGCCTAGATGATGCGATTCCAAGTCCCGACGTGGAGTTTGGCCCCATAACCTTCTGACTCAGAGGCAAGAGCTACCAGAGCCAGGCTGACACTGATCTCTTGGGTGAGTTACAAACCCCAGGCCTGAGGACTTGACTTCAGCTCTTGAACCAATCCGACTGGGGCCTAATGTAGCAGTAATGTCATGGCTTAAAAGCAGGATCAATGGCGTTAAAATATATTGATGTGCACAAAGGGAAATGATGAGTGTCCTTGAGTAGTTAACCTCCTGGAAGGCTACAGTATCCCCAGAGTGTGTTGGGATAACGGCTGGAATTTAACCAGCTAAAACCCCATAGCTTGTCATTGAGAGCACTGTCTGGCAAGCTTTCCTGCTACTTGTCCAGCTAGGACCAGCCTCCCAATAACAACAACAACAACAAGATTCCATTTATAAAGCGCCTTACACGTCAGGAGGACGTCCCAAGGCGCTGCACAGTTGGGTCATGACCCGAGCAGGGGGGAAATGGTCAGGGTGAGGGAGGGAGCGAGGAGGGGGGAAATGGTCAGGGTGAGGGAGGGACGGGAGGGAGCGAGAAGGGGGAAGAGAGTCGAGAGGAGCTGAAGGCTCGGTCAAAGAGAAAGGTTTTGAGACCGGCCTTGAAGGAGGAGAGGGAGGAAGCGGCGAAGGCACTGGGGGATAGAGTTCCAGAGCCTCGGGGCTGAGAGGCTGAAGGCCCGACCACCAATGGTAGGGCGATTGGGGCGGGGTACGTGGAGTAGACCGGAGCCGGAGGAAAGCTCTGGCACGCAGGGCTAACAGGAGCGGAGTGGTTTCTGCATTACGACTAGTGCGAGCTGACATTTCTGAACATTTAAGACAAATATGATGTGCTGTAACATCCTGTGTCTGTGTGTCAGTCAGGGTTCAGGGTACTCAGTGACAGGTCAGTGTAGGCTGGAGCCCTCCTTCCCTGCAGTCTCTACATCAAATTGTATTATACAGCGCCTTTCACATTGGGAGGACGTCCCAAATCCCTAGCTGGGGGTTGGAGTCAAGAGGGGTGGAGGCGTTGTATAATTGTAATTTGTTGTTGTCGTCGTCGAAGAAGCCATTGAGACCGCCCTTGAAGGAGGTAAGGGGGATGTGAGGCGGAGGGACTGCGGGATGGAGTTACATTCTACTCTATGACTGCTGAGTCCTGGATATCACAGATGGGCCAGAGGAAGTCCCTCTGCTGGCTCCCCAAGAACTGTAAAGAACTGTTTGAGGTTTCTGTGTGCGTCAAACACCCAGCTGCGTGTGTGTGAAGGGCGGGCGGGTGTTTGTTAACATCATTCCTCATGTTTCAATGAAGAGAACCAACGTGTAATCAATCTGTGTTTTATTTACATTGTGGAATCAAACAGCAAATTGTGTGTAAAAAAAAGTAGATACATCGTGGAATCCCTCCCAGTCCTTCACAGCATTCACTCTGCAAGAGGAGAAATCATGGGCGTTAGAAACGGCAGTTATTTACTCACTGTTAGAGATCATTCAGAGTCTCACCCGGTTTCGTTATTCTGATGCAATAACCAATTACACTTATATCACGCCTTTCATGTTGGTGCTGGACAGTCAAGGATTTGCACCCTGCCTGGGTGTGGGCTGGAATCAGGAGGGGCGGAGGGCAAGGGTAAGAGGATAACCGAAGGCCCACTCGAAGAGAAGGTCTTGAGACTGGCCTTAAAAAAGGCAAGGGAGGGAACGCGGGGAAGGAGATGTAAGATGGAGTTCCAAAGGGTGGGGCAGAGAGGCTGAAGGCCCGTCTACCAATGGTGGGCGGGCTGGGTGGGAGACATGGAGCAGACCGGAACGGCAGGTCAGTTTGGAGTTAGCAGATCACAGAGGTAGGGAAGAATAAGGCCTGAAATTCACGAGCATTTGAAGGGAGAGTCACACCGCCCCACTGCATCAAACACAACCAAAATCTGTTCTCTCCCACCCCTACCGCCCACAAAATACAGTCAATCCACTTTACAGTATATTCTGTGAAGCTCTTTGAGACGTCTCGGAAGACGTGATAAGGCACTGTATCAAATGAAAGTATTATTATTGTTATAGCTGTACAGTACCTCATGCAGCACTCCTAATCAGGGGCGAGATGCACAGTGAAGAAGTCTCTACTTATGCCCGTCAATGTAACAGGTCCAATATTCACATCGGCTGGATCACATTGTCTGTGTGTCTTAATCCCAGAATAGTGCTCAGTAGTTTGATCCTGTGTCCAAAACCAGGCTGAGAATCAGCTTGGGGGCACCAGTAACGGAGGAAATCACTGTCTGGTGCTGGATCAGATCACGGAGGTGAAAGGATCAGTGTGCACTCAACTGCATCATGTTCCTTTTCATCCCCTCAGTCTAAAAAGTGGATAAAGAAAGCCTCAGTTCTGGTGATGAAAAGATAGTGTCTAATACACTGCAACAGCCAGACTGCTGTACTGAGCCAGGCAGGTCCACCGAACTCAAGGGTATTATAGCTGCACTGGAAGGAGACTCCTGCGGAACCTGTAAGCTAAAGCCCTAATGGATAGGGTGGTCCTAGCTGGACATGCAGCGGGAAAGCTTGCCAGACACTGCTCTCAATGGCAAGCTATGTGGTTTAAACTGGTTAAAACTCCAGTGCACATTCATGGGGATCCCCCAAGACTTGGCTCTTGCCATCCATCTTATTTCTGGAGTTAAGATAAATAGGATGTGTACTTCTGGGGAGTGGATGCACATTCCATCCCAGACACAGGAAAAAATCCACATCTGAAGACTCTTAAGCATGGGGTGGTGGAATTGCAATATGACAACAAGAAAAAACTATCAGAAAGGGAAAGACCCAGATTTTGTCTGCCTCTGCTGGATTTGGTTTCAGATCCAGAGATGCAGGATGAGCACCAAACTATACAATGGTATAGGATCAGGTACAGGACCTTAACACATCTTCCAACACAACCTCAAATCGCTCCCACAGAATTTCAGCGTCATATGGAGTGACTGTGAACTTTTGCGGGTGAACATTGTAGCCAACTTGCTCACAGCAACATCCGAAACAGCCATGAAGTGAATTACCATTTTTTGGGGGGGGAGGGGAACTGTTGGGAGAAATACCCTTATTTCTTATGAGCAGCTCGGTTTAATATTTCATCCTTAGGACGGCACCTGATAATGTGACACACTCCCCCAACGCTGCGCTGGAGCGTCAGCTGAGACCGTGATCTCAAAGTCCTCGACCTTCAACCCGCAACCTTCTGTCTCAGAGGTCAGAGTGCTACCACCTAAATCAGGCTGACACCTAGGGGCTGAATCATCATTACTGCAAAGTGTAGTGATTGAGTATTTTGTGGGCAAAATGTGGCAGCCAGTTTGCGCACAGCAGTGTCCCACAAACAGCCATGAAGTGATTGACCAATTTTATTATGGAGCTTATCGGACAGGACACCGGGAGAGAGAGAGAAACTCCCTTCTCTTTCCCAATAGTATCTGTGACATCCACCTGAACAGGCACAGACGGGATCTTGGTTTAACATCACGTCCAAACCGACGGGATCGCACAGACGGCACCCACCTCTCATCTCAGCCAATGAAGTTGATGACGACCAGGTGGAGGATGGTGCTGGCGAACAGGAAGTCAGCAAACGCCCGCTCCGGGGAGATGCCGGCAAATTCCCCTTTGTTCTGGGAGTTGATCTGTATCCGCAGGCAAACTGCAGTCAGGACGACACACACCGTTACACACGCGGTTACACAGAGCTTCTCATGCGCTCACTCATTCCCACCCGGTAACTAGCAGGTTATATTAGTCTCCTCTCAGGAACCTTTCCCCCACCAATCCCCCGCGTGCACTCACCCAACCCCTTGCGCGCACTCACCCCCCGCGCACACATTCACAATCCCCCCCCACGGACCTACCCCCTGCGCACACTCCCCGCGCACGCTCACAGCACCCCCATCCCCAATGGGCGCAGCTCCACATCGCACCCCCCCACCACCACGCATGCGCAACCTCCACTGCACACTCCCCCTCCTCCCCGCCTGCACACACACCACTCCCCCCCTGCTGCGCGCACCCCCACCGCGCGAACCCGGATACTCCCCCCCCCTCACGTGCACACACACACTCTACCCCCACGCACGCTCCACACAACACACACGTATGCTCCCCCTTTCCGACCCCAACCCCCCCATTCAACACACACAGACACACACACAGACACACAACACACACACAGACACTCACACACAGACACACAGACTCACACACAGACACTCACACACACACACAGACACACACACACACACAGACACTCACACAGACACACACACACACAGACACACACACAGACAGACAGGACACACTCACACAGACACTCACACACACAGACACACACACACACACACAGACACTCACACACACACACAGACAGACACACACACACAGACACTCACACACACACACACAGACACACAGACCCCCCCAGTGCCGGGGTTCGGGTGGAGGGAGTTGGGGCCTCACCCGCCAACACACAGGCGGCCAAACAGGCGCTGAAGCCGGAGAGGAAGGAGTTGAAGGGGAAGGTGCCGAGAAGGCCGCAGTAGAGGAACTGCGCGGCGCCGCTCAGCACCATATACAGCAGGTAACAGTCCAGCAGCTGCAGCCGCAGCGCCGTCCCTCCCGCGTACTCCTGCCACAGGCGCCCGAGCACCGCCCGCACCGAGCCCGCCATTGCTCTCTCTGTGTGTCTGTGTGTCTGTGGCCGGGGGACCCCAGAGCGGCGCACACCCGCCACGTCAACAGCGCCCGCCTCTCCCCTCCGCCGCCCCCGGGAACACACGCTCCCCGCACATTGGTTCCGCCCCTCCTCTCTGCTTATTCATAGAATCATAGAATTGTACAGCACAAAAAGAGGCCATTCGGCCCATCGAGTTTGTGCGGCTCTTTGAATAGAGCTATTAATGTCAGTCCCACTCCCCAGTCCTTTCCCCATAACCTGCGAACCCGTCCTCCTCAAATACCCGTCCACCGCATTTTTAAAACCAGACACACCCTCTATATTATTATTATTAAATGCTTCAAATCCATTACAACAACAACAACACGATTGCATTTGTATAGCACTTTTCATGTCGGGAGGACGTCCCAAGGCACTGGACAGTACAGCATGTTGTTGTTGTAATGTTGTAATGGATTTGAAGCAGTTAATAATAATAATAATAGAGTGGGTGTGTCGGTGACTCGAGGTCACAGATTCAAAATAATATCTAAAAGAAGCAGAGAGGAGGTGAGAAGAAATGTTTTCACGCAGCGAGTTGTTCGAATCTGGAACACATTGCCTGAAAGGGCGGTGGAGGCCGATTCGATAACTACTTTTTAAAAACTCGGTGGACGGGTATTTGAGGAGGACGGGTTCGCAGGTTATGGGGAAAGGGCTGGGGAGTGGGATTGACATTAATTGCTCTATTCAAAGAGCCGCACAAACTCGATGGGCCGAATGGCCTCTTTTTGTGCTGTACAATCTATGATTCTATGAATAAGCAGAGAGGGGCGGAACCAATGTGCGGGGAGCGTGTGTTCCCGGGGGCGGCGGAGGGGAGAGGCGGGCGCTGTTGACGTGGCGGGTGTGCGCCGCTCTGGGGTCCCCCGGCCACAGACACACAGACACACAGAGAGAGCAATGGCGGGCTCGGTGCGGGCGGTGCTCGGGCGCCTGTGGCAGGAGTACGCGGGAGGGACGGCGCTGCGGCTGCAGCTGCTGGACTGTTACCTGCTGTATATGGTGCTGAGCGGCGCCGCGCAGTTCCTCTACTGCGGCCTTCTCGGCACCTTCCCCTTCAACTCCTTCCTCTCCGGCTTCAGCGCCTGTTTGGCCGCCTGTGTGTTGGCGGGTGAGGCCCCAACTCCCTCCACCCGAACCCCGGCACTGGGGGGGTCTGTGTGTCTGTGTGTGTGTGTGTGTCTGTGAGTGTGTGTGTGTGAGTGTGTGTCTGTGTGAGTGTGTCTGTGTGTGTGTGTGTGTGAGTGTGTGTCTGTGTGAGTGTGTCTGTGTGTGTGTGTGTGTGAGTGTGTGTCTGTGTGAGTGTGTCTGTGTGTGTGTGTGTGTGTGTGAGTGTGTGTCTGTGTGTGTCTGTCTGTGTGTGTGAGTGTCTGTGTGAGTGTGTGTCTGTGTGAGTGTGTCTGTGTGAGTGTGTCTGTCTGTCTGTGTGTGTCTGTGTGTGAGTGTCTGTGTGTGTGTCTGTGTGTGTGTCTGTGTGTGTGTCTGTGTGTGTGTCTGTGTGTGTGTCTGTGTGTGTGTGTGTCTGTGTGTGTGTCTGTGTGTGTGTCTGTGTGTGTGTCTGTGTGTGTGTGTGTGTCTGTGTGAGTGTGTGTGTGTCTGTGTGTGTGTGTGTGTCTGTGTGAGTGTGTGTGTGTGTGTCTGTGTGTGTGTGTGTCTGTGTGTGTGTGTCTGTGTGTGTGTGTGTCTGTGTGTGTGTGTGTCTGTGTGTGTGTGTGTGTCTGTGTGTGTGTGTGTCTGTGCGTGTCTGTGTGTGTGTGTTCTGTCTGTGTGTGTGTCTGTCTGTGTGTGTGTGTGTGAGTGTGTGTGAGTGTGTGTGTGCTGGGGTGTGTATTGTTTGGGAGGGGGAAGGGTCTTGACAGGAGTCTGATATAAACTGCTGGTGATTGGGTTACAACAACAAGTTGCATTTATATTGTGCAATTCACACGTGGGATCTTCCTGGAGCGCTTGACAGTGCGGAGTTTGACCCCGAGCCGGGGGGAGAGGGAGAGGGGAGGTGACCGCAAGCACCGTCAAAAATAAAGGTCTTTAGATGGGATTTGAAGGTAGGGAGTGTCGGGAGGGTGGGGGCAAGGTGGAGGGATTGAGGGAGAGAGCTCCAGAGTTTCGGGGCACAGTGGCTGAAGGCACGGCCACCGATGGTAGAGCGGAGGGGACGAGGGACAAGCTGGAGGCCGCCGAGCGGAGACGGTGGAGTGGGGGATAAATTTGAAAATGAGTGAGAGGAACTTGAAGTCAATCCATTCTGTAATTGGGAGCCAGTGCAGCCGGGCAAGGACTGGGGTAATGGGAGTATGTAGTTTTGTGCATGTTAGTATCTGGGCCGGTGGCGGAGGTCTGAATTAGTGAATTTTGTGTATGGTGGAACTGGGGAGACCAGCGACGAGGGGATTGGAATAGTCCAGCCAGGAAGTGACAAAGGCATGGACAAGGGTTTCTGCTGCTGTGAGTGTGAGGTACGGACGGTGGGGAGGCAATGTAGTGGAGGTGGAAAAAAAACAGTCCTGGTCAGGGTAGAAAGGAAGGCTATGGATCGAACTGGCGCTTAAGTCGCGCACGAGTTCGGAGAATGAGAGGAGAGCGCAGGAAGGTTGAGGAGTTTGGAGCCACAGGAATCAGTGAAATTGTTTCGCACTCAAAATACACAGTCAATTCAATTTACAGTATATTCTGTCAAGTGCTTTGAGACATCTCGAAGATGTGATCAGGCGCTACATCAAATGCAAGGATTATTATTGGTGAGTGAGCGCTTGAGAAGCTCTGTGTAACCGCGTGTGTAACGGTGTGTGTCATCCTGACTGCAGTTTGCCTGCGGATACAGATCAACTCCCAGAACAAAGGGGAATTTGCCGGCATCTCCCCGGAGCGGGCGTTTGCTGACTTCCTGTTCGCCAGCACCATCCTCCACCTGGTCGTCATCAACTTCATTGGCTGAGATGAGAGGTGGGTGCCGTCTGTGCGATCCTGTCTATTGCTTTGGATAAGACGTTAAACCTGTTGTCAACAACAACAACAACAACATACATTTATGTAGCGCTCTTCAAGAGGTGTAGCGTCTTGGAATGTAATGGAATGTGGGAATCGAGACAGCCCTCTGTGATGGTCTCCAGTCAGGTTCCTGAGCCAGGAGGGTCCACAGTATTCCAGGGCACTGCTGATGACAGCACAGCCCACGTTGGTTCATCGGCAGAATCTGGAGGAGCAGACCGGTCAATGGGGGCTGGGAGTCACCCCACTCAGCTCCTGTTAACCCTACAAAGCCAAAGCCCTAACAGGTAGAGTGATCCTAGCTGGACAAGCAACATATAAAAATTGGGAAGTCATGTGATAGTACAGCTCTTGTCAGTGATTTTCCATTTGTTTGGAGACTGGTTGGATCCCAGAGGATTGGTTGCCCCACTTAAGAATAGAGCAAAGAGTAAACCTGGGAACTGAAGTGTGTCAGCCTGCCTCACGGGGTAGCACTCTCACCTCTGAGTCAGAAGGATTTAGGTTCAAGCCCCACGTCGGGACTTGGAATAATATAGTCTGGGAATGTGTTGCTTTGTCAGAGGTGCCGTCCTTCAGATGAGTTGTTAAACCGAGGTCCCATCTGTAGCTGTTCAAGTTAAGGATCCCGCGGCGCTGTTGGAAAAAAGGGAGTTTTTCTCCCGGTGTCCTGTCTGACAATACTCCAGATAATATTGGTCACTCACTTCATGGGTCTTTGTGGATGTTGCTATATGCAAATGGTTACCGTGTTTCGCCCACAAAATACACAGTCACTACACTTTACACTGTATCCTGTGAAGCGCGTTGATACGTCCCAACGACATAATACTGCGCTACATCAAATGCAAGGATTATTATAATATTATTCAGTGCTTTTTCAATCTCTGTTACCATTTCTCAAGTGCATCTCTTCAAATGACACATCATGTATAATGATGTCAACCCCTAGGTGTCAGTTTGGCTCAGCTGGTAGCACTCTCTCCTCTGAGACAGAAGGTAGTGGGTTCGAGCCCCATGTTGGGGACTTTGAGTTCACAGAATAGTCTGACGCTCCAGGACAGTGCTGGGTGGGAGAAGCGGTGCCTTGTCAGAGGTGCCATCCTTCAGATGAGACATTAAACCCTAATTTTACCAATTTTTGCTGCTTTGTACTGCTCACCAGGAAGCTCGCCGGGTGTTCCTTGCACCTGCCATCCATCTAGTGAGGACTTGAATGACCAACAAGTGATGGGCGAAGGAGGGGGAGTAAGCAGGGTCTTCTCGAGGCTAGGTGATATGCTTGGCAGCAGAACATTAGAATTGAGCCCAACCTCTGTGGCAGTCTCTAGTAATCCAGGGCAGTGCTGATGAAGCCCAGTCCAGCCTGACTCATTGGCAGGACTTTGAGGGGCAGACCCATCAATTATGCATGTGCAAGGATCTCTGGGGAGGTATTTGAACCTGGTTCTGTGCTGCCCTGGAGGAACGTGTTTGAATACTGGGGAAAGAGATTCCATGTGGTTTGAACTCGTGTACCAGAGATGTTATTGAGACAGAATTAAAAATTGTTTCAAAAGTAGGACTGGGGATTAGAAGATTTTTTTTACACATAGGGTTGTAATAATAATGATAATTCTTACATTTGATATAGTACCTTCTCACGTCGTTGAGACAACAGCAACAAGATTATAGCGCCTTTCAGGAGGACGTCCCAAGGCACTGGATAGTGTAAAGCATTTCAGATCCGAGCTGGGATCAGGGAGGGGAGGGGAAGGGGTGTGGCCAATGGCATGATCGAAGAGGACGGTCTTGAGGCAGGACTTGAGGGCGGCTAAGGAGGGGGCGAGGTAGAGTGATTGGGGGATGGAATTCCAGAGTTTGGGGGCAGAGTGGCTGAAGGCTCTCCTGCCAATGGTGGGGGTGGGTGGGTCGGGGAACGTGGAGCAGGCCTGAGCCGGCTGAGTGGAGGGAACGTTCGGGTTGGTAGGGGATTAAGAGGTCGCAGAGGTAGGGTGGGGCGAGGCCATGGAGGGCTTTGTAGGACCAGAATTTTGAAGTGGATCCTCTGAAGGATAGGGAGCCAATGGAGTCGGGTGAGAGTGGGGGAGATGGGGTCACGGAGTTTGGTGCGGGAGAGTACCCAGACTGCAGAGTTCCTGATTATTATCTGCAGCCTGTGGAGGCTGACAAGCAGGGCATTTGCATAGTCGAGCCTGGAGGTGATGAAGGCATGAACAAGAGTTTCAGTGGTCTGAGAGGTGAGGTAGTGGCGGAGTCGGGTGATGTTACGGAGGAGAGGGAAGGCAGAGCGGGTCATGGCTTGGATGTGGGGAAGAAAAGACAGTTGAGGGTCGAACAAGACACCGAACAAGAACAAGACGTCTCAAAGTCAATTGACTTTTTTTGTGGGTAACATGTGGCAGCCAAATGCGAACAGCAGTGTCCCACGAACAGTTGTGGAATGAGTGACTGATTTTTAATTTTTTTTAAAAGAGATTATTAGCCCGGAAAAGTAATACGTCAAATGATTAACAACCGGGTTCCTACTTACTGCTAATAATAATGATAATCCTTTCATTTGATAGAGTGCTTTATCATGTCTCAAAGGATATACTGTAAAGTGGAGTGAATGTAGTTCATATGTGAATGTAATTATTAGCTGGAGTTAGATTAGAAGATCAACCATGATTGAATGGCGGGGCAGGCTCGAAGGGCCGAATGGCCTACTCCTGCTCCTACATGTTAAGTTATGTAAAGGGCATTGTTGATATATTGTTCTAACCTTTGTGTTTCTGTCTTGCAGTCCTGAGGTATGAGGAGGGAAATCATTGAGACTGGATTGGAAGATAATTGAATTGTCTCGCCGCGCTGTTCAACATTTGTTTACACAATCTTCTGCTTATTCCATAATCAAAATAAAATATACTTTCTATAAAATCAAGGCCTGAGTTTTGCTCGGTTGACGTGCAGGATTCTCACACTCGGAACTCTGTGTTCTCGGTGTTTCTGAAAATGCTGAGAACTGAACTTGGAAAGCTGTGGAGGAACGTGATCCTTGCCTCAAACCAGCTGCACACTTAGCTAGCTGGACAAGGAGTGGGAAAGGTTGCCAGACAGTGCTCAATGGTTTTAGCTGGTTACTCCATCACAGTCTCCCTCCCAGTTTGGGTTGGAGATTGTTCAGCTCAGTGATGGACTTTCCTCTTTGATCGTGCTTTCGACCACCGTACCATTCCCCTCTACACTCGATTCTAATTGCCAGCTTGGGTGCAAATCCTTAACTGTTCAGCGCCTTGGGACGCCCTTCTGACATGAAAGGTGTTGTGTAAATGTGATTTTGTTGTTCCTGCATGCGTCAAGACCAGAAAAGAATGAATGACGTGTTGTAGAATCTAAAGGAGATCCAGGTAATCACTAAGCAATAATCCTTACAACAGCAACAACTCCAGAAGTAGGTAAGCAGGATGCATCCCTCCAGTGAGAGAAACTGCACATTCCATTCCACACACGGAAATTTCCATGTGTAGGTGGCCGACAATGAACTCTCAGTCTGTATTGCACAATGAAGCGCAGTGATTCTGCATCTGTCAGAGATTTGGTTGACTAAAATAACCCCCCATCTTGTATCAGTCTCTATCCCTGCATCTCACCCTCTGCTTGCCTTTAAATCTTGCTTTTAAAATGCACCTTATGGTCATCTCTGCCTTGCTTGGTGTCTGAAACGCTATTGAGAAATTATACCACTTGAAAGGTACTATATAAACTCAGGTTGTTCTTAGATTCACCTTCATGGTGAAGCGAGTTAACATGGATATGAATTCAGACCCGCTGACCTGGTTTGCTCTGTTCAGCAATTTCACAAATGAAAAGCTTTAAAATCCTCTCACCTTGTCCTCTCTGTAACAACAACTCACATTTATGTAGCCCCACCCCACATAGGTAGTGTGTCCCAGTGCATTTGGCAGTGGTGGAACACGATGCTGAGCTGGAGGGAGGGAGGAGGTGATGGCAAGCATGGTCCAAGAGGAAGGTCTTAAGATATAATCTTAAGTTGGGGAAGGAGGGGCAAGACAGAGGAATAGAGGAAGAGTATTTCAAGAGTTTCGGGGCGTAGTGGCTGAAACTGCAGCCATCGATGGTGTACCTGTTGAAAACATTATTTCAAACAAATTGGCTGTCGTTCGGCTAACAAAAATATGCATTCACTACACTGACAATAAAATCTCTGTAAAGTTCTTTCAATCCTTATTGGTATCAAATACAAAGAATTGTTATACTGTGGAGTCCTGTAACTTAGTGGTTAGAGCATTCGCAAGCGAGAGGATCTGGGTTTGATTCCTGGGCAGGGCAAAACATTCCACGATTCCACGACTGTTTGTGGGACACTGCTGTGTGCGATTGGCTGCTGCATTTCATCTATAAAATATACAGTCAATTCACTTTACAGTATTTCCTGTGAAGTGCTTTGAGACGTCTCGAAGACGTGATAAGGCACTGTATCAAATGCAAGATAATTTCAAATTTGCCATATCAGTGTGCAATTACACGAAGCCATCACTAGGCGGTGCCCAATGTCCAGTTCACAATCCCAGGAAGAAGTGACTGAGCTTCTGGGTGTGAAAGATAATAATAATAATAATCGTTGCATTTGATACAGTACCTTATTGCATCGTCGCGTTGTCTTAAAGCGCTTCACAGAATATACTGTAAAGTGAATTGACTGTATATTTTGGGAAAAACGCGGCAGCCAATTGCGCACAGCAATGTCCCACAAACAGTTGTGGATTGAGTGACCAATTTTATTTGGGGGATTGTTGGTCAGGACATCAGGATAGTCCTGTCACCCCCTCTCCCCCCTGCTGTCCTCTCTGTGGTTAGTAAATTACGCAGTGAGAAGAATTGCTACAGACATCTCACCGAGTTCACAGAAACCCCCAGACTTTTATGAAAACAACATCTATATAATTAACTGCGGAGGGAGCTTCCTCTCTTTAGGTTCATTCAGTAAAAATAATCAGATATGACGTAAAAGCTAAAACCCCCTTTTTTCCCATGGCATTCTTTCCGGCTTCAAGGTTTGTTGGGAGTTCCCCTTAAAGTCTGAATTTCAATAAAAAGCATTGTAATTCTAATAATAATAATAATAATTCACTGTAAAGTCAATTGACTGCATATTTTGTGGGTGAAGCACAGCCGTGTCACACAAACAGTCGTGGATTGAGTGACCACATTTTTTTAAGGGGACTATTATCAGCAGAAATGCAATCCACCAATCGACTAACAACCGGGTTCCTACTTACTACTAGGTAAACAGAGGCGTGTGAAGTAAGGAAACTTGCCCAATTGTTGGCCCTGCCTGGGAAACAAACCTAGCTCATCTCGCTTTTCCCTATTGGACACAGCACATAACGTTGAATGGCCTCCAAAAGCTTCACTGGGAAATTGCAGTGACTGTGTATTTTGTAGGTGAACGCAGGAGCCAATTTGCACAAAGTAACATCCCTCAAACAGCCATGAAGCAAATGATCAATTATATCTGGGGGTTTGTTGGCCAGGACACCAGGAGAGAGAAACTCCCTTCTCCTTTCAAGACCACCTGAAACGTCCACCAGAACAGGCACAGATGGGTCCTATTGTCTATTGCCCATTCAATGTTATAGGAGGAATATTATAAATATTAATGTCTCATCTGAGATATTGGACCCAGGTGACTGTTATATAACAGCACATCCCCTCATCTTCCTTCAATCAATGAGTTACTGACCTGTAGGACTCTGCAGAATCGTGATCTAAAAACAGCACTATCCAGAGATCTACAGCAATGTGTTCCACACCCAGGGGTTTTGGAGTCCCGTAGTATAGGGGCTAGAGTGCTCACCTCACAAGCTAGAGGACCCGGGTTCGATTCCCGGGTTAGGCAAGTTTCCTTCCACTCCACACATCTCTGTTCCCCAAGCCTTGGCTCTTGCCAACCTGCGCCTAATACCTTCCGGAATTAGGTAAGCAGAATACATCCCTCCATGGAGAGAGTGCACATTCCATTCCAGCAATCTATCTCTGGGATTTCCATGTGCAGGTGGGGTGCATAGAAATCTCAGCTTGGTTTGGAGACTCTTAAGCACGGTGATGGATTTCCGCCTGTGTCAGAACCCGGCTGACACCCCCGCACAAAAAATTAACCAAGCAGTAAGTAGGAACATGTTTGTTAGTTGATGGTGGATCACTTTCCCTGGGTAATAATCCACGACTATTTGTGGGACACTGCTGTGCTTAATTTGCTGCTGTATCGCGCCACAAAATATACAGTCAATTCACTTTGCAGTATATTCTGTGAAGCGCTTTGAGATGTCTCGAAGACGTGATAAGTCGCTATATCCAATGCAAAGATTAAGCCTCTGAGATGCCGTGCGGGGTGAAGGTCACTATATAAATGCAAGGGTAAATGGTGTTGGAGGTTGTGTGCTCAGGATTGTGGCGATGTCTCAAAGCACTTCGCAGGATATACAGTGCTGTAAAATGAGACTGTGTATTTTGGGTGAAACAACAACTGGATTCATAGCAATAAGAATAATTCTATTACTTGAGCCTCATCAACAAAAGCAACATTTATACAGCGCCCTTTCACATTGGGAAGATGTCCCAAGGCCCTGGGCAATCAGTGTTTTGGATCCGAGCTGGGGTTTGGAATCGGGGAGGTTGGAGCACAGAGGGGGAAGGAGGGTGACTGAAGGCACAGTCAAAGAGGAGGGTCTTGAGACGGGTCTTGAAGGAGGCAACGGAGGGGGCGAGGTGGAGGGACTGCGGGATGAGGTTCCAGAGGGTGGGTGCAGAATGGCTGAAGGCCCGGCCGCCAATCGTGGGCAGGCGAGGCGGGGGACATGAAGTAGGCCAGAGTGGACAGGTTGGCAGGGAGTTATGAGGTCACAAGATAGAGGGGAGCAAGACCATGGAGGGGCTTTGAAGGTGAGGACCAGGATTTTAAACTGTATAATAATATAATAATAATAATCCTTGCATTTGATATACGTCTTCTCGACGTCTCAAACGCTTCAAATCCTCTGTGTGTGAAGACAGTGGAGTTGGGAAAGGATGGGGTTGATAGGGTCACAGAGAGAATACTCAGAATTCTGGATGATCTGCAGCTTATGGAGGGAGGAGTTGGGGAGGCTGACAAGCTTCTGCCGCTAAGATGTCTCAAAGTGCTTCACAGCATTTTACTGTAAAGTGTAATGACTGTGTGTTTTGTTGGTGATTGCAGCATCCAATTTGCACACAGCAGTGTCCCACAAGTAGCCAACGAGTGAATGACCAATTGTATTTGGGGGATTGTTGGCTAGGACACCGGGAAAGAGAAACTCCCTTCACTTTTTGGATAGCACTGCAGGATCTTTAACATCATCTGAACAGACACAGACGGTTAAACGTCTGATCTGAAGGACGGCGTCTCTGACACTGCAGCGCTCCCCCCAGCACTGCACTAGAGCCTCAGCTTAGACTATAAGGGTTACTGGCTCAGAGGTGAGAGTGTTACCAACTAAGGCAGGCTGACACGCACACATATGTAGTGCCCTCAACAAGGGCCATATCTCAGAGCGTTGTCAGTGTGTACACAGTGTGAAGTTCATATACGCACAGTATATACTGTTGGGGTAAACTTCCACATGTATGCGGATGACACATAAATCCACTTCTCCTCCTCCAGCTGCGACTCCAGTTCGCCGATGTTCTCTTGGCTTGTCTGGCGAACATCAGGGCCTGGATGAGCGAAACTTCCTACAACTCAATGTTGACAAGACGGAAGCCATACTCATTGGTTCCCATCAACATCTTCTGACCTGTGGCTCTGTCCTTCTCAACCTCCCCGCGCTCTCCCTCAGACTTACCAAACCATTGTACAACCTAGATGCCAGGATCGGCCAAGCTGTCCTTTC